TCCAGGGAGGATTGTCATCAGTAGAGAGTGCTGATAACCCCAGACAGGGTGCACAGGGGAGTCAGGCCCGGAAGAGGCAGGGATAGGTTTGAAAGTTTTTCCCATCCCTGAATTTTAGAACAAGATGAGCAACAGAGATTTTGGAAACCGCTCCCCCCACCCCCTGTCTTTCAGAGCTGTCTTCTGATGGCAGTCTCTGCCGAGGATGGGATGCACCCACATCCCCGGAGCAAACAGGATCCATGAGAATACAGGAGAAAATAAATCTGGAATTGTGCAAGAGCAGCACCGAAGGGACAAGGGGTTAGCATCTCGCTGTGAGGAGCGTCGGGTGGGGACTTGCTAATGAAACTGCAAAGCCTCTCGACATGGGCACCCTTGTGTGGCTCTTCACACCTCTTGGGCGCGGCACGACATCATGAGTCACCCCGAGGTTGTAGGGGGCGTTCGATCCGAAAGAGGTTCGGACGTTCCGCCACTCCAGCAGGCAGGAGAAATTCAGCCATCTGGGATCGTTGGGCCTGCACTTCAGCCACTATCAATGAGGACGGTTCCTTAATTAGACAGCTGAACACGCAGTTCGCTAGACAACCTGCTGCACAGCCGTTAATGCCCAACTCAGCAGCAGCAGGTTCAAAGACCTTTCCTGTGACTGCATCCACTTCTGGTTCAGAGGAGACTTGCTCTTCGGCTTTCTGCAAGGGCGGGGAGGGGGGGTGGTTTTCGGCTCGGTACTGCGGAGCGGTATGACACTCCAGTACGTCGCTCTCGGCCAGCAGAACGAACGGTAAGGGAGTTTCCACTGCGGAACAGGTTTGGTCATTGCAGAGATGGAGGGCGTCTTCCATTTTCAAAGAAATTTGACTTGTGCATTTTGTCCCCCTATCTGGCTCCTTAGTTTAAGCGCGTAAAATTTAAGACTTGTGCGTGATGAATCCATCATTGGTTTAAATCTTTGCTTCCAAGTTCTTCATGCCTTTACCTTTAACACCTGCGTTTAATCTGTGTGTAAGGCCAAAGGTGGGTACCTACGGGCTCTGCTGGGTCAAAAAGAACCGTTGAATTCTGAAATGCTTACAAGAGTTTGATTAACCCCCCCCCCCC